CCACTCACATAATCCGGAAAGGTTGTGAAGGGGAAATTGTGTATTCAGCAACTTTTGGACACACTTACACGCATAGCTGTTTGGAAAAGTATGTTTCCTCCACAAATTTTCCAATTGGCACATCACGTAAAAAGTCAGTGTATTTTTGAAATCAGTAACCTTCATTTAGAGTAAGTGTATTTTTGTAATCAGGAACCTTCATTTACCCTTTGAAGGTTACTGTTTCACACAATCCGGGACAGGATGTCTTTGGGCAAAGGCCTAATCAACATATTTTGATGTATACCCTTTTCCAAATGTATGTTTCCAGCTCAAGTTTTCAAATTGTGCACCTGCCAAGCAAATGTTGGAGATTTGGAATACTCCACCTTCAGTTATACTATGACACACCTTGCACATGATACGGAAAAGGCTGCTTTCTGGATATGAGTAATCAACATAATTTGAGGCATGATCAGACTATAACTCTTACAAAATGCCAATCTCAGTATATATATATAATGAGATTTTCATATATACATACTGTGGGCAACCCATCAGACCTCTGGAAAAGGCTCATGTCGTCAAAATATCTAATCAACTAATTTCACACCCAGGTGAATCCCAATTCACAATAGGGTGACTTTGATTTGGTGTCCAACCTGTAACATAAACCGGTTAAGGTTATCTGCGACAGGCTCATGTTGTCAAATTTTCTAATCAAATAATTTCACACCCAGGTGAATCTCAATGCACAGTAGGGTGAATTTGAATATTGAAACATATATATTGTAGGTTGTAGGATCTTAAATTATGAATGAAAATCATGGATTTTCATTCGTCCACCTCAATATCACCGAAGCCATTCCACTCCTCCTCCTCCTCCCCCTCCAAAGTCTCCATCATATCATTTCCAAGATCGCCATGATTATCCTGTGTCATCGTAACTTTTGCATCAGCTTCTTCATTCATCTCAATACCTCCGCTGTCTGATTCCGCAACATCAGAGCTAGCTGATACCTTTTGCAATCTGAATAGGTTCTTCTGAACATCACTGAGCCACAGACTCCTACGGCTGTTCATTCCATTAAAACCTAGCTTCAAAACGGCTTTTGGAAGGGTAGAACCTGGCAATTGGATAATTTTGATGTTGTAAGTTTCAAGTAAGACGGATTCTGGGTCGGGACAACGAGGGAATCCTTGTTCCTTCCCGGTTACCTTACCTGAGGATGATAGATGACCCAAGTTAGAATAAATCAAGGAAAAAGATCATGACACCATGCTTACTGAAAAAGCCTCGTAGCAAACCGGCAAGCTCGCTCTTAACTTTATCACCCGGGTCGGTTTTTCGAGCGTTTTCGCTGGACAACATAACGTTTCCTCCGATAGTTTGAGCTACTACCTCCGAAACCGAAAGTCCTTGAGCTCTTGCTCCAAATACCGTTGAGAAATTGGCTTTCTTATTGACATAGATTGCCATTTCCTCGTGGGTGGTGTACTCTCGGCACCACCCTGGGGTGGCGTTAGAACTCTCACTTGAAGCATAAGTGCTACAAGCCAGGAGATAATACGAGAAATTCATATTGTTGGATTCGATTTCTAACTGTGAAAGACATAAAAGACCTAGTAAGTTACAGGAAGAATACAAAGATGGAGATGTCTTTATACTGACCTCAGTATAAAGACGCTCTATGCATTTGAGAGATTGACAATTGTAATCTGGCAAGCTGGGGCCTTGAGGTATGCCAGCGGAAGCCTTGGCGAATTCTTTTGCCACCTTTGCTTTATTTACAACCTCATCGTACAAAACTTGAGCTTCAGCTAGTTCGGTAGGATTCAGAGGAAACATGTCTTCTTCTTCATCTCCGTTGTCGGGATCTTTACGAGGTGGAGAGAGACCAGAAAGTCGGTAAAATACTACAGGATCAAAGAGTGTGTGTTGTTCGTCCGGGAGTGAAGTCCAGATCTTCCCGAGGTCACGGTTTCTTTTTGCAAGAATTCCTTTGACTCCTTTCGGTGGCACTACCAGAAGTCATTGAAATCATGAAGATTGGTTCAAAGATCATGATAGATATTGAGGTTGATAATGTACTTACTTGGATGGTTATCAATCTCCTTACTGTACTTTTTCCATAGTTGATATCCTCCAGATTTTCGCCGTCCTCCAAGCTCACCCCTGTATTTTAGAGAGATTTGAATTAGACATTTTGAATATGTGTGGAATGAAAGGGTTTGTACTCACAGTGCTTTTTCAAGGGTAAATTTACTGACATTTCCCATCAGTGCAAGCATCGCCTTTTGGTGTTTGTATAATTTACAAATAGCCCGAGCTTCCTTCAATATCTTCGGTGGAACCGCTGTACCCTTTCACTACACAAAATATAATATTTTCTGGGCAGAAAATTAAATTATTGATACACAAAAATATTGAGAGGCCAGGAGAAGGGCAAAAAATAAATAAAAATATGCATCTTGTTCCCTGCTGTGAGAGCTTCACTCTCCATATTTTTCCATATTTTTACAGTCCGTATTGATAAGTGTACTAACAATAAACCTTCATAATCATCCAATTACAACCTGTAACAAGCACTGAAATTTGGCTCATTAGTGTTTAGAGAAACTTTTGATTTCTGAAAACACCTATAACTTTGTCAAATCTGCCTCAAAACACTCGATTTTAAGTGCATTAGAAAGCTGAACTCTTCCTCTCAAACTTTCATAAGGTCAAGAACTATGTAGCTAGTATGACAATCATTCTATGGATCTGTATGTACAAATGTACAAAAAAGATTATATCTTTTTTAGCAGACCAGCATGCTGTGTGGTCCTATTATGAACTATCTAGGAGGACAATTCCAGCTTACCAATGCACCCAAAATCGAGCGTATTGGACCGGAATTGAAAAAGTTATGAGTATTTTCAGAAATCAAAAGTTTCTCTAAACACTAATGAGCCAAATCTCAGTGCTTGTTACAGGTTGTAATTGGATGATTGTGAAGGTTTATTGTTAGTACACTTATCAATACGGACTGTAAAAATATGGAAAAATATGGAGAGTGAAGCTCTCACCGCAGGGAACAAGATGCATATTTTTATTTATTTTTTGCCCTTCTCCTGGCCTCTCAATATTTTTGTGTATCAATAATTTAATTTTCTGCCCAGAAAATATTATCTTTCTTGTAGTGTTTCTTTTCTGTGATCGTTCTTGTACAGCTATACGATGAGGTGGCCATTTGTCCAGTTTGGTCTTATAATCATCAAGAGTCGGTAAGATGACTCGTTCTCGGTCATTTGAAGCTTGTGCTTGTTCGAATGTGTCCGCAGTGTGAGGACGTTGACTCTCAATGCAATTAGAAGTACGGCGATGCATTGGTTGGGGAATTTCAGGAAGTCAAAACAGGTTGGGATCATCGTCATCATCTTGCTCTTCATCGTCATCATCATCTTCTTCATCGTCTTCCTCTTCCTCGTCTTCTTCTTCATCGACTTCCTCTTCATCCTCATCATTTTCATTGGCTTGGTCTTCAACATGATCGGTAGCTTGTTTGTCCCGATCAGCAGTGTGACCAATCCTTTGTCTCTGGTTACGATTAGAAGTCCGCTGATTGCTCGGGTCTGGACTGTGCTGAATATGTTTTTCTAGTTGTCGCAACAGGTCCGCAACTTCATCATCTTCATCGACATCGGTAGGAGTATCGTCATCATCTGGAATGGATCGACAACTTCTTTTCCGTGTAGTTGGATTCTGGGCTGGACTTTGAGGATTAAAACTTGTTTGGGCATTACGTCCACGGTTCGAAGTTGAAATCGAGTGGGAATTTTCGAAGGAAACTGTGCGGTTGGAACGCAAGTTCCTACCAGTTGGGCGCCGTGCCTGAGCTAGGGCAGTAGGGGGTTGAGCACCACAAGAGCGAAGATACCGGGAGTAGGAGGGCATAGTTTAGTAAGTATTTTGAAGAGTTGATGATGGTATTCGATGAAAGCTGTGGAGGTCGATAGAAGTGAGGTGACGATGAAACAAAATGAGATATGGGTGTTTTTTTTTATGAAGCCGGGCCGGAGTAGACGTGGACACGAAAGAACTAATAGGTTTTTGTACTATATGTACAGCTTTGGATATGGGGTAATGATTCATAATCAAGGTGTGTATGTACAGTACATACATACAGTGATCCCAGGCTAGTCTAGAAGTCGCAAATGGGTGCCACGCCCAAATTGGGGTGGTTTATCCCATCAATATCTGAGCGATGGGACTGTAAGTTTGTATAACCCCATTTGGAAGACAGGGTCTGTCCACATGGCTGTCGTTTTGTCAAAGGAAACAAGGGAGAGTGATTTAAAAAATCAAATCAGCTCCCAGTCATTTTTTAAACAAACTTACCGTTCAAGATTGAACTCCTCAGAAGCACTATTACTTTAAATCATCCTGAATCATTATCTACTTAAATCAATTGTCGTATCTCTTCAATTTTTCTATCTCAATCGATTCAAATATGGGCAAGAAAGGAACGGCAGTTTTTTGCCCACTGGGAGTAGGCAAAAAAAAGAGACGGACCATTGAGGACGCTGAAGGCTCTACAAACATGGTTAACCAGATTGATGCGAGTGAAGCTCGGTATGTCAAGAACCGTCTCATTGAAATTGAAAAAGCACTTAAGGCCGTTCAGGATCCAACACCCGTGGATGGTCAAGCAAACCTGGACAACAACAACCACAACGACGAGCAAATTGACGTGCTCTATGGGGATGCTTATAACCTATTTGAAGACATTCAGGCGGCTCAGGATCCTGCAGTAGCACCTGATTTAAACGTCACATTTGAGAACTATATACAAGGAGCATTCTACAAAAGCCAAAAAATGACTGAAAATAAGAACTGGAAAAAGGCTCTGCCCGAAATGTTCATCACCTACATGGCACTTTCGCAAAAGACTTCACAATGGGGCGATACTCAGCAGTGGAACTACGATCACAACAAAGAATGTTGTTGCGGTGTCGGGGACCTAAGGACGCGCAAGGTTGATATGGTAGATATCTTGGGTGAGTACTCGTCTTGATAATATCACATTTACTTGTAGTGTTAATATTTTGTTTAATATATCATGATAACAGAGCGAAAACGACTCGAAATTGTATTCTGTAAATGTACCTTGGATCAAGTAAGACTGGTCAGGATGGGATATATTGGAGGATCTCCGGTACATCCGCAAGCAGCATACTCAATCAGGCTGCTTAGGATGCATCATTCCTTCTGGAAGTATTGCACCGTCAGAACTCAAGGTTTTGCGCTTGGATTGGATGAATTCCTGGACGCAGCAAATCCGCTAATCTTGGTTGCAAAAACCAATCAGGCAAGTCCACTAAATACCTTTTGGATGGTGAGTATGCTCAGCTTACCCGTGTTTGTTTTTAAGCCTCGACGTTGGCGCAAAACCCTGTCTTCGGCAATTGATGCCTATCGATATATCCTACGGAAGCAGAAGGAACTTACCATATGTGCATTGTATCTCACCGCATTGGATCAACTTGCTATGAATTGCCCAAGATGTTTTGGGCCGCTTCAAGCAAAACCAGAGGCAGGTGAGAGTGATTATCATGTCTGCACAGATGGAAACTTTCAACATCGTCGTCACCTTTCTGCAAGCCGGGAGTATGAGGAAATGGAAATGGAGAATCCTCCTCTCTTCCTTGACGATAAGAAGGTTGCAGAGTGGAGGACACGAACTGGTGGCAAAGATCCTCGTGGAGTTGGGGTATGTACACTATCATCATCATCTGCAATCAAGAAATGCACAGCTGATACATATGTGAATGGAATTCACATATGTGTGATTTTGATTCACATGTGGGTGAATAAAATTCACATATAGGTGAATTCTATTGACCCATACGTGAATGAGATTCACATGTAGGTGAATGTTATTCACTCATACGTGAATTTCAATTACTTTTATGTGGATTGCATTTACGTATGGGTGAATAAAATTCACATATAGGTGAATACAATTCACGTATGAGTGAATTCTATTCACCCATACGTGAATGAAATTCACCCATACGTAAATGCAATTCACATAAAAGTAATTGAAATTCACCTGTAGGTGAATGAAATTCACCTCAAAGTGATTGAAATTCACGTATGAGTGAATTTCATTCACCTACAGGTGAATTTCATTCACGTATGGGTGAATAGAATTCACCTATATGTGATCACGTATGGGTGAATAGAATTCACCTATATGTGAATGAAATTCACTCATACGTGAATTTCAATCACTTTTATGTGAATTGCATTCACACATATGTGCTATATATTCACACATATGTGAAAGACATTCACATGTGGATCACACTGGGGTGAATGAGTTTTTGGCTTTATCTGATCTGATATATATGTTTTCTTTTTTTCCTCAGGATCCGTGTTCAGCATCTCACACAGCAGCTTCAGACATACAAGGAAAATCTACATGGAAAGGGTGTGATGAAACAGGCCTTATTGGATTGGCTTGTAGGCATGATCACGTCCTGAAATTTGTGAATGTGGTTCAGAGTGGCGAGCGGTGAGGGATCCACTTCCACTGCATATGAGGGATGTTTTACAATTCTAATAATTCTTGCAATACTTAGTCAGTACTTTGTATTGGCATTGCTTGATCAGCTGTTGATAGATACAGCGGAGCCAGACAAACCTGGTAAAAGTTTTACGGTTTTCTATGATATTGGTTGTACATTTGAGAAGAGTGTTCAGAATGTAATTTTATTTCTGCGCTCTCAGAGGCTCATATAATATAATGGTTCTTACATTGCTTCTTGATTTGATTTGACAGCGTAAATATTTCGAGGCAGAATACAATCGTGGGGATCTCCGTTTTGCAACTAGTGCTTTCCATGCATATGCCCACGAGTGGTCTTGTCAGCTCAAATATAATCCAAGACTGAACGAGGGAAACGGATTGTCAGATGGCGAAGGTTGTGAGCGGATATGGGGGGAGAATTCTCCTCTGATAGCACCGAATAGATGTGCCACAAAGCAACATTGAGTTGATGCCATAGATTTGAAGTCTAGTCATGGAAATGACACACGATGCAAAAACGCAGGTGTGTTTTTTGTACATGATATGACAATACCATGCTGACAACTGGCTTTAGCTTTCTCAACTCAGGCAAAACTAAAGACGGCAGAATATAGGTTTCATAAGGCATCTCAGACCCTCCTCAGCCTAGAATCTCAAGATGCCAGTTTTACGTATGGCTATTTTTCTGATCAGTGGAAGCGGCAGAGAGAGGTACAGCTGGCTGCCATAGAAGAACGTGGAATACAAGAGAAGCTAGAGGAATATTTGGTGAAGCTTCTTGACCTGGAAGGGCAGGTGAAAGATGCTCAGTAAATTACGTCAATTTTTAGTTGGATAGATGTTTTGTTGATTTGTTTTTGTTTGTTTTTGGGCAGAAATGAGCTTTCACGTATGCGAAGGAAGCGCAGAAGAAATCGGACAGAAGCTGAGATGGACCAGTTTTTAACATTGCCATCATCAATTGTTGCACTTGAGAAGGCGGTTGCTGATATTACTTTGGAGTTGGGAACCCCTGAATTCAATCAACTTCGGGCAGCTACTGGTGAGTCCGGTGCTAGAGTTATTAACCCATTTGTCTGCAATTTGATTTTAAATGTGAATTTAATTTATAAAGGGGCAAAAGCGGAGGCACTGATACGTGTGCGGCTGGCCAAGATGAAGCTATATGAGGCTAAGGTGGGCATAGTAGAAGCGCAAAAAAAGTGGGATAAGGGTGGTCAAGGCAAGTGTTTTTAGTTTACCAGTGGGAAAAACGTGGAGCACAACACAACCTGATGATGAATGAATTTTGCTTTTGTTGTTTTTGATTTGGATGATTGTAGGAACTAAAGCGCAGCAAGGACTTAAGACTTTAATGACAAAGAAGCAATTGATGTTTCGACGGAAATGGACATCTTATGAATCTCAAGTGGCAGATTACAATTCCATCCGTCCAGTAACAAGGATGGCTTGTCCATCTCTTGATGAAGCCAAAAAGCTACCATTTGAGGATGTCTTCTGGAATGTGGGCGCACTTTCTCATCCTACAGAGAAGTGGGCTGTAGATCCGCCAACAATTGAAGGTATTCAGGCTTTTCTACAGCATAGAAGTTGCAGTGAAGAACTACGAAGAATTGGCCGGGAAACACAGCAGATGGTGTATGAAGCTTTGAAGACTGAGGAGAAGCTTGATGGCTTACTTGCGTTGTGTAGTAGTGGTCAGTAGGAGTTTGTTTGATTGATTTGTCTTTTGATTGTCCTGAGGTTTTTATTCTTTCTCTCAGATTATGATCCAGAAGAAGGTGGCAGGCGCCTCATTGAATTGGTTCAGCCTGGCCAGCGTATATCAAAAGATGTTTGGGAAGAGAATGTGGGAGTGTTGAGATCTTTGCATGATGATCTGCGTCAGAAGCATTGCAGAACCTGGATGATATGGGATGCAAATCTTGTGGGATTGCTTCGTAGAACCTATCAACACACAACATCAACAGCACAAGAAATTAACTCATTGATTAAGCGCTGGGAAGGATTGGTAAATAGGGGTAAAACAACCTGGGAGCGTATTGTGAAAGCTCAGAATATAGCATCAACAGCTCTGGATGAGCTGGAAATGTTTGAGCAAGTTATGTTTCATGGGGAGGATTACATAGGGCAGGTGGGTGACTTAGCAGATGAAGTGAATGAACTGTTCATTCATGATGAAGAGGATGATGCTGACATGGAGGAAGACTTTGATGAAAGTGGTTTAAATTAAAAATGAATTTGTTGGTTGTTTGTGGGTTTGGTAAAGGTAGAAATATTACAGATTAATTTTTATTACACCTAGTATTTGGTATGAGTGTTGAGTATTGAGTACCACGAGTGACAATTTGACTTCCACATATTTGATTCTATGTCACATCAGGGTGAATTCATTCACCCCAATGTGAAAGTGTATCACACAAGGGTATATAGAATCACCTCAGGGTGAATGGATTCGACATCATATTTCACCCTAAGGTGAATGAATTCACCTCATTTCACCCTGAGGTGAATCAATTCACCTCTTGTATAGAATCACCTCGGGGTGAATGAATTTGACATCATGATTCACCCTGAGGTGAATGATTTCACCTCATGTAACTTGATCACTCCACGAATTGGTAAAACACATGTAGTCATTGAGTTGAATGGATTCACCCAAGTGTGATTGTTAATCACCCTTCTGATATTGGTAACCACCATCATGGGATTCAAGGTCAGACTAGCTGTTGATCATACTGATAAGTGCCCCGGTGAAAGTATTTCCACATATGAAATTTGATATCACATCGGGGTGAATGGGTTCACCATATGAAATTTGATATCACATCGGGGTGAATGGGTTCACCATACAAAATTCGATATCACATCGGGGTGAATGGGTTCACCATATGAAATTCAATATCACATCGGGGTGAATGGGTTCACCCAAGTGTGAATAGTGATTACACTTTTCATATTGGTAAATCACATATATAATCACACTTGTGTGATCTATAATTGTGACTGTGGGATTTGTTAAAAATATTTCCTGCACATGTGAATTGAAATCACACTCGGGTGAATTGAAATCACACTTGAGTGATTTGCATCACGTTTGGGTCAATTGAATTTCCACTGCCGTGATTATACCAAATGTTTTTCATACAAAATGGTATACACATGGTAGTAGATCAACACGTGTGTCCAGCTTGTTCTTCATCTACGTTGGAGCTGACTCTTTGATCCGACGCGTCGGGGGCGTCGGCGCGTCGGTAGGGGGCATTCCGGACAATGTCGGATAGGAAATACACATTTTTCAACGGATAATATCCGAAGCGTCTAGTAGACACAGGTGAGGAACTGTCTTAGGGCCATGTCGTATGTATTATTCTGGGAGTACTTCATTTGTTGATACGAACCAACAATCTTTCTATCTGTAGATTCTGAATCGCTCTTCCATTTCGAACCATGCCCTGAAATCACCGAGAACCGTAGTCAAATCCAAAATTTTAGTGTTTGGTATGGGGGCATTGAGTATCAGAAACGTGGGCCGCCTCACATGTGTTTTGTGGCAACTACATCAAATCCTACCTACCACTTTTCCAATGTGAACTGTGACAAATGAATTATTACCTCCATGGTCACGTAGCAAAGCAGGATCTTGTCAAACTGAGGGTACGAGGGTTCTTCACTTTAGGCGTTGTTCTGCACCCCACGGACCTGACGATACCGTGATTTTGTTTTCAGAAAATTTCAGTAGTGCAGGGTTTGGCAACATCTTTGTATAGTTCTAGTTAAATCATTCAGATCTTTCAGTTTCTCGTACCACAGGTTAAGACTTAAATAAGATATATGAGAAGTGAAGTCAAAGCGAAGCTAAATTGTACAAGTCGGTTCGTAACAAAGAGTTGAATTCAAGAGCGCACCGTTTGATACAGGGATTTCAAGGACTTGGGTGCTTATTACCAAAAATTCAAATTCCCTTAGTCCGAAATCAACTTCATTGCCATACTTTTTCACTACCCATTCCTCATTCGATTTCCATACTTTGCTCGTTTTTTCCCCCTTGTACAAAGTGAGCACCTGTCAATATTGAAATGAGCATTGATCAGCTTGAATCAACATCTAAATCGTATCATGATCTGCTCTCTGGAACACTTTCAATAGATCTGTTATCTTGAATTGCTAAGTCCGAGGTTGCACCCAAGCAGGTGATTAAAATTGAATCAAGTTTTGAATTCCAGGTTCAAAGAGGTTCTCCTTTTCATGACCTGAAAAGTAGATTCAACAATGAGTATAATTCATTTTCTGAATACATGTTCTTATGAAAAAGGATGCAAACTTGCCTTGGTGTAAATTAAGAAATGGCACATATCGTCCGGGTAGAACCTAACAAATTCTGAGCGCCGTACTCCTTCGTCCCCTTGAGATCATTTTAGTTATATGGAATGATAAAATCTGCAAAGGTGCTCCAGTATCCCGGGCTCATTCATTCAATTCGGATGCATGCCGGCTATTTCATAAGAGAATGAAGAAGATCAGTTATAAGGTGTCTTTGAACATTTGCAAGCGGTTTTCATTACCATGAAAGGCCAACTTGCAAGAAGATACAGCCAATACGATCATACTGGTCTGTCCGGTGGTTGATGACCTACCGTGCCAAAAGTTGAAAAACTGGACCACACTTAGTAGGACAATCTGAGTACTTTGTAACAGTGTTAAAACGGAATCACATAAACAAAGATGCAATGTGCAATTAATTAATCGAGGTTTTTTTCAGTTTGAAAGCGGATAGATACCGGGTATTGGCACGTACGTTGCTCAGAGTATTGAAGTTCCAGTTTTAAAAAGGCGCCTGAAATGCCTACAAATCAATTTTTCAAAGTCAATGTTGAATTAGGAGGACAGGTTACCTGTTATGAATTCTGAACCCTTGGCCCTGACCACGCGGAATCAAGGCATGTTTTAAAAATATGCAGGGATAGATTTAGAACCGAGGGTCTTGAATTGCACGTTGCCAGTCCCTTCAAATTTCACACACGTGTTACTAATTACACGCCGAATCGAGTACAGATTAACTTGGTCGTACCGTGAGTAACCAAGTTACTACCCGTTGAACAGGGGTGAGCGCACTCACAAGAGCTTAGTACACAATGTACATGGTTAAATCTCAGGCAGCACCATGGTTTTTCCTTGACCGCGAGGTCATTTGGAAAAGTCCCAAGGTTGTTTTCAATAAGATGTGCTTCATTTGTACAATGTCATTCTTCATTTCGAGTTCTTGATATGGCACAGTTGAAAGACTGCTCTGCCTCAATGATGTTTAATCAATCCTTAAGTTACACATCAATGGTACAAGTCTTTGATGAAATTGCAATCATGATTGGTCTAAACATTATTATATCAAGGTAATGTCCAAACAACATTCTGATGTTTAATGGGCAACCTGCTCCAATCAATAGAGTACAGATTTTTTGGTCAGGACATTTGTGAGATTTGGCTTGAAATACTCTGACCGCCAAATTGATAGTGTTGGCAACTTTGGGTGAATCAAGATTTGTTCATATGTTGAGGAATATCACATGAACATGTCTGAGAAAGAAAGAAATTACAACATTATTGGATGACAAATAACTATTTGAAAGATATGGCCTAATAATTTTTTATAACCTGTTTTTTCAAGATAAGCAACCTAAATATTGCACAAGGCTTGACAGTGTTTTCGAAGCTGGGTTATGTAGAGAAAACCCCGCAGAACATGATGAGTAAAGGGCAAAATACAGGGTTTGTTGCGTAAGTAATAAAATAATCCCATGAACTTACCACGAAGTGATAACGAACTGATTTTTAAATTCAAGTCGTTAAGTCAAGAGTAGTGCTGCTGGATGTTTGTCTTGCTGGACGAGCCCGAGGCCGCTTTTTAGAAGCAGGGGGGGCTGCTCGCTTTTTCTTTGGTATGGCCTGGGATAGAGCCTCATCTGATTCACCGCTCGAAGCTGAAGCCGACATAGGGGCAGTAGGGTGGTCCGCGGGGGCAGATTGGAAATTTGCTCCAGGGGTTGGTGTGATAATTGGGGACTTGAAAGGCGCCGTGACCGGTTTTGGAGTGAATCTTAAGCAAGTTCAATGTCAGACACGGAACTTGAGTCATGCTAAAGGTCATTGGTTGGGCCTACGTTTTTGGCTTGGGACGGCCTGACCCACCAATCATATCCTCCGCTTTGACAACCTTTTTCTCAAATTCGCTAGGGTCACGGTGCCCCGAAGTAGTTGAAACTCGGTTTGCCTGGTTTTGAAACATTATCAGCAAGATCAACTCAGCCGAGAACAAAGTCACTTACAATGACTACGTAGCAACGTGTTTCTTCGTTAAAATCTTTGAGATACCCGTGAAACATGGTCTCGCGACCAAGCTTGAGCAATCTTGGAATACCCGCAAGGTATTTATGGGGTCGCACACGATATTCAACATAAAAAGTTGGCGCGGGTTTAATCTTTGGGAATACATAGATCATATTAATTTGGATGAAAGAAACAAAATAGCTATAGGCCCATGTACTTACTGTTGGGTGATAGTCCGTGTGTTTCACGGTGACCACAAGAGTTTTTGGGTCCTCAGTGTTGTCCTTGTCACGTAAGTTCTTGCAACATTCTTCAATGATCAGCTCAAGTTTTGTTACAATTCCGAGACCGCTGACGCCCACACCGTCAATAAAGTCGCCTTTGAAATCTTCAGCGGACCCAACGACAGTGTAGTCAGATCCTTCGAAGTAAAATTGATCCATGGTCGTTTGGATTGTGTTAGTGGGAAAGAATAGGCCTCGAAGAAAATAGATTTTGTTGTCCTCAAGTGCCAAAGCGCCCGAGCTGTAACCAATGGCCTTGATTTCGTATCTGGTTTCTTCAATGTGGTCGGCCCCTCCACAATTAATGAATACAACATAGCTGCGATATCCAGATTTTCTTCCTAGCTCCGAAGGAACCTGCTCCATTAAAACAGGGTACAAATCAGGTTTTATGCAAAATTGGAACCACGGCTGGGGAGAGGCCTCATACCTTGCCTTCAACCTCAAAATTTCCTGAGAAGTAAACCCCGTGCCCCGTTGGTTTGTTGAAATTGTCTTTGGGCATTGCTAAAATGCACGGCGTTAAGTCAAGAGTTCAAACAAATAACATAAATCAGTTCCAGTCAAAATTACAAAAACAATTTAAATATTCATGGAAGAATAATTATTCAGAGTATGCGCGTGGAAATTTAACAAGGTATACAAATTACTTAGGCAATTACTCCAATGTGCGTAGACAACGTTTGTGGCCAAGGAGATATGAATTTGAATTTGAAGAACGACGACTTTTTTATATGCCTCCTCAAAGGACCATATATATATGGTTATATTGTTCGCTGGTTAAATGGGGAAGTTTACCTGCCGTTGGAATATCTCTGTTCGTACCCCATTTGAATCCGTAGCGCTATCAAACTCTGCGAGTCCCAAGACATCCTAAAGTCTGAATCGTCCGCCTATTTGGATATAGGATACGAGTTCGGAACGAGTCATACGTGATGGATTGTGGTTCTTCCTCGGGTGAAAGCCTGGCATTGTTGAACAGTTCTCCAATATTGCCGTAAGGTGGGCAATTGGCATCGACAATTGGCCAATCAATTCAGATACGACATCGGTTTGCTGAAAAACATGAACGGTAGCAATAAACACAGCTTGTCACAATCCAAATTCACGAGTTCGGTTGAATACACGCCGATTAGCGGAATAAGACTCGGGGTGAATTTGGAAAATAGGCCAGGAGAAATGGGCCTACCTATGTGAAAAATGCTCCAATCGTTAAAGCATCATACTCTAAGGAAGATTTGAATATCGAAAACTGATGCGACAAATGAGACGTGGCGAGATGAGGATCTGAGTGAAGATACCGACATCGGTTGAAAGCAAGGTAATGTTACACATGTTTTGGAAATTGAAGTATAATTAATTAATTCAGATCAGAGCCACAGAATTTCGCCGCACAGAGAGAAGGGATCAGGGTTACACCCGAGCAATGTATGAATTACCCGGAATCCTGTGGTGGGTTGATTTCCAAAATTGCGATTGTGAACCTGCCATTTGCAACCGAGGACCAAATTTGATGGTGAGTTTATGGTCAATGTCCTTATCGTCTTGGAGCGAAAATGATAAGCATGCAATTTACCCATAATATGACTTGAAGAACGATTGAGAGGCGGGATATCACCGTCAATAACATAAGGTATGGTATGCGCAGTTCATGACGAAATTTCTTTCAAAACTATCACGAAAATATTGTCTACGTGTGTATCGAGATGACAGGCCGCAAAGCAAAGGTAAGACACATGCTCGGGCTCTGATACTTTGCCGTTAAACAAGTGCTGCCTTATGGGTAAAGCAGGACGGGTATTGAGCAAAGGAAAACGACTGAAAACTGGATGAGTTACAAAACTATGTTTTCTATGTCAAAGGCAAGATTGGGTCGCCCTGATTCAGGCAAATATGTATTCACGGGGCCTTGTTAAATTTCCGGTGACTTGATGCTTGGACGGCCCCAAATTCATACCCGAAATTGGCAAGATGTGTTGTAACCAAAGTCCCGATGACAACATTACGAATAATGGGTGTACCACGGAATGCGCGATTAAAGAGGTTGAATTAAGGAATTTAAAACAGAGCCAGAGTGTCTATTTCATCGACAAGTCACAAAAAACCAAAATGACCGAGTAGTGGTTCTAATTTCGGTTATGAAGAACATTGGACCAAACCTACATAAAAGTTTATGAATGTACTTATTTTAATATGACCAGGCCCATGCCTGGATCTTCACGTGAAGCACAATCCTTGCTTCCCAGTCAATTATAACATATTCTTTGGTTAAATGGGAGGCCGCGCAACGCACAAAACCAATTTGATTTGCTTGAAGATTGCAACAAAAAAGAGCAAAACTTTGAAATCATATTTTAAAGAAAACTTTTCTAATACACATGAATCAAAGACAGCCATACATATAAGGTTATAATCGTGTATTGAGACCTCTGTTGATATTTACTGCCAACTGAAATACATAAAAAAAGCCTCAATTGCGACATATGTGGCGGTATGGACAAAAGTGAGACAAATCTGCTTCCTGATCATAGAAAATGTATACAAAATCTGTATCACTTGGCAATATCACATCGAAGTTGGTCCGCCAGGCCCTGGGAAGATCAAAGGTTTCAATATGCAAGAAAAGTCAATTGAGGTAATAAATTAGATTTACCGTGGTTTGAGCACGGGTCAAGCGACCCATAAAATGACATTTTATTCCAATGGCTTCGAACAAGTTGACCAGGAATTCATCTGTCGGGCCATGACCTTCAGACCTTATGAACACAAAGTGTTTCAAGTTCTCAGGGAGGATGACGCTGGCGAAAAGGTCATGTTCAAACATTGCTCGCCAGTATTGACTTCCGTGCCAATAGGTAGTAATGAAAACTTCAACCGTCTTGAGGACAGGCCATTCTAACCATGACAAACCCCTCGAGGTTGGATTACAATATTCCCCACGTAGCACTCGAAGGTTAGGAAAGATAAGGTTACGTAAATCATGAGGAACTCGGTCGGGGACAGAGAGTATGAATAACACCTTGAGGCTGTTGGTGAGGCCCGAAGCGACACCAGTTGCCGTAGAGGCCTTCTCTTGGGTGAATAATTCCAAGCAATCAATTGACCTTTCTCCTTCTTGGCAGATTTCCATGGCTGCGCGGCGGTTCTGTCGGTGGTTGGCTATCCAGAAATGAGTAAGTAGAGGTAGGGAGCCCGGCTTTAAATGCATTTTTCGCAAGGAAGGGAGGCTGATTGATAGTGATTCGAGCGATGGAATACCTTCGAGTAAAGTTTTCAAAGATTCGGAGTCATGTTTAATTTGTGGCGAGGTGGGGCCTTGAATGCTAAGGACCTTGAGCCTGGTGATACCTTGAATTGCGTCTGACATCACGGGCGGGAATCCGACTGAATCCATGAACCTTAATTTCAGATTGACCAAAGTCGAGCCACACAAAGCCACGATTTCTACTGCGTCCTCAAGTAGGATGGAGAATGGATATGGAGTGGTTGAATAAGTGAGGTCAGGTTGGTCCAAAGATGGGGTGGAAAGCTTCGAATACCATATTCCATCAAGATAAAGATTTGTCACCCGAGGGCAGTGCATATCAACGGAGCACTTTGTCCACATACGAGCCAGGCTAATGCTCATGTTGTTCCGCGTTAGGCAAACAGTGTCGAAAACGATTGGAAGTATGGCACTGTTCCAAAACCGATTCAATAAGCGCAATCGCAAGAGCCAGAAAACGTAGTCGTGTCGAAAGTAAAAGATTTCGGTGCTACAAGTTGAATTGTATGGTACAACTGGAATTGTGGGAACGACATGATTAAGAATCAGACCCAGGATCTCGGGTGGCAGATGGTTTGGAGGCACCACAGGGTCGGGCAATGCCTGATCCGTTTGCATCTCTGAGCTGGGGAATGAAAGCAATGGGCCAAGTCAGCTCTTGAATTCCCACTATTGGTGTGTAGGAAATAAAGCACTCAAACTGACGCCTTATATGAAAACCGGAAAAACCAATGGATGGTAAACTGTTTGAGGTCAAGACCTTTCTTCGAGTTTGGGAGACGGACAGAGAGAAAGACGTAATAGGTAAGTGTAGTTATACCTTACTTGGTGGAGTCTTGTTAGTGAAAACAATACGTGAAAGTGACCCAGAAGTGGGTGTATTGAGTCCAAGGTGCCCGTGGAAACTTGAAGGATTGGCCCATGTGGTTACGAGTTAGGATTAGCCTAGCCGCGGGCGGGATCTGCCAGTGTGGGGGTCGATAAGACATCGGACATCGCGGTGACATAGATAAGCAGTTGGAAAGCTGGTGTTGCTGGCGAAGCAACAAGGTGGCGAGGGATGAAAGTCTTGGTAAGGTTCATGGCTGACGAAATGTGTCGGTTTACTGGCTTGAGTGCGATCAAAAGAGGGGCCAAAGGTCAAGAGAGGTTCAGATGCGGTCGCGGCTGAAAAGTTTGAGAATGAAGAAATGTAGAAGAGTGCGGAGAGTCAAGAAAGTGCAGAAAAGGGAGGTTGTGCAAGGTACTCAAAGTGAAGGGTACACGAGGTGAAGCAGTGTGCAGTGGTCAGGGCCCGATGGTACCTAAATACTTGGTGGTAGAGATTAAGGGCTGTTAAGTGCTTAGGGAATCATAACTCAGGGGTTTAATCCAGTTTCGCCGAGAAACTGGGTCGTGCTTTTAGTGTTATGATACTCCAGTCAAATCTCAACTTGATCTATGTATTCAATACTTGATTGTATATAACTTGAAATTGATCTCTTGGCTTGAGATTGTATGAATTTCTTGTTTGGATGATTCAATTTGTAATTGGTCTTTAGATATTTTATTCCATTGTTTACTAGCATCAACACATCATCCAACATCAAATATATAGACAATGAAAGGCAAAAATTGACTTCACATTGTGTGAGTGATACAACATGAGAGTTTGAGGAATTAGAAAATAGAGCTGTTGGTTGTTTGAACCAGCAGACAATGAGCTAATAAGTAAAAGGCAGATAAATATTGTTATGAAGAAGTAAAGTGAGGAATGATCAAGAAATTTGTTGGTTGTTTGAGATTTGAAGACAACTTAGCTCTTGACTTGAAGCATACAATTGTGGTCTGAGTCTTCAATTTGGAGTTAAATATATCTAAACTCCAAATTAAAGACAACGACTGTGGGATTTGGCGTGAGTTTGGTTCACCCCGGCTAACAATTGTCAACTTTAGCTTAACTAACTCCAATTTTAACGCAAACGGCTGCGGATGCTCTTATGTGGGATACCATGGGATACCCTGGTAAGTGAGAGGGCAACCAGAGTCGGGAAGTGACAGCCCAAACAGGCTGGACGGGGCCTCAATTGGGGTACAAATGGGGTGATTTGACATTTTGTCGTTTTGGTGCAACTGGCGCTCCTTGGCCACCGTAGATTTGGCAGTCTGCTACGGTGGCTGTGGACAGCCAAATCGGACAAAACATCAAATATGCAAAAATCTTGATGAAACACCCTTTGAAAGCCCTGTGGAGCATGTCCCGAGCTCAAGTATGCTGCGCTGGACAACACTCTGCCCACAATCACACCCTAGTCCTCAAGTACTATGCTCAGCATACGGCTTCTGACTCTGCAATTAACGTATACAAAGTTGGTCTGGAAATTTCCAGAAGGGTTTTTCCAGAACGTCAGAACCCTTCTGGCATTTGGGTAAACACAAATCAAAACTTGCAGCCGTCCTGATCAAGTGATCGAATGATACCCCCACCTCCAGCCAACCAAGCCACCCTCACAACAATCCAATCGTCGGAACTTTCACTTTGGCCTTTCAGAACCTTGGCTCTCAAGATTCAAAGCAGGTTTTTTATACTTATATTCATTTTGGAAAAATTTCATTGGTTCCACTTTGTACTTGCTCTTGTAGGTCTCCAAATGCCTCTCTCCAAATCCCTCTCCAAAGGAGACAAGATGTGTTATTCACTGCAAAATTTGAATTGATCAATACACAAGTCTCATTTTGCTTTTTAGAGACGATCATTTTTAGTCTCATTTTATTTGTAGTTACCTTTTCAAATTGATGTGATTGTTGTTTCCGGAACAATCTTGTTTGAATCATGTTACATACTTACAAGCTTTGGTCGTTTTGAAATCTACTCTGTGTCTACTGTCTTTGTGATTTGGCTAAAAGCCGACGGAATTCACAGGGGCCAAAATAGATACTCACATACATGTGAGCGTTATAGACTTTTTGGAATTCTCCAAAAAAGATTCATTTTCTTTCAGATTGATTCAATTCACAATCTTGTATGTGTTCAGGTGATCATCCTGTGGTTCTCATATTTTACTTGACATTTATTGAGAAGGCTCATTTCCATCTTGGATGAGCAATAACTGATTCCCGATGAGTACTCAGGATCAGCTCATGAGGCACTGAATACTCAGCAATTTGTTCAAAATGAAGATGAGCACATGAACTATACCTTCCTGAGGCTTCATTTTTCAGTGAAGAAGCCTGCCCAGGGGCGTCCCATTTGAGCTGCTCAGCAAATACTCAGTAGCATCCCCTGACTGGATCACTGATGGGCCGGACTTTTCTCAGACTTCCTTGCTAAGGAATGAAGCCTGATAAAAGCGTCATCCTATCTGCTCATTGCTCAGCTAATCCTCAGTGATATCCCCGGATAAAGTTTTTCACACTGAGGGGCTGAGATCAACTGAGCAGCCCCTCAGCCAATACTCAGTGACATCCTTTGGATCCTTCTGATCCGGCCAGGAATGTCCCTGAGGAATAGCTGAGCAGGCCCTCATCCAATGAGCAGTGAAATCCTCCGGATCCTCTTGATCTCAGGGATGCCCCTGAGGAATAACTGAGCAGCCCCTCATCCAATGGCAGTGAAATCCTCCGGATCCTCCTGATCTCAGGGATGCCCCTGAGGAATAACTGAGCAGCCCCTCATCCAATGAGCAGTGAAATCCTCCGGATCCTCCTGATCTCAGGGATGCCCCTGAGGAATAACTGAGCAGCCCCTCATCCAATGAGCAGTGAAATCCTCCGGATCCTCCTGATCTCAGGGATGCCCCTGAGGAATAACTGAGCAGCCCCTCATCCAATGAGCAGTGAAATCCTCCGGATCCTCCTGATCTCAGGGATGCCCCTGAGGAATAACTGAGCAGCCCCTCATCCAATGAGCAGTGAAATCCTCCGGATCCTCCTGATCTCAGGGATGCCCCTGAGGAATAACTGAGCAGCCCCTCATCCAATGAGCAGTGAAATCCTCCGGATCCTCCTGATCTCAGGGATGCCCCTGAGGAATAACTGAGCAGCTCAGTTGAACAAGCAGACAGGCCTCAGGCTTCATTCCGGAGCCATGAAGCTTGAGGCAAGCTTGGCGCTCTGTGATCCATCTGGGGGATACTTCAGAGACTTAGCTAAGGAAATACTCAGTTCAGCTCAGCCCCTAAGCTATACATTGGTGGCATCCCTTGGAACTTACTGAACCAGGGAATGCCGCTCAGGATCAGCTGAGCAGATGGATCAGCCCTTCTTCAGACTTCTTTGCTCAGGAATAAATGCTGAGGAAGGCTTAGTTTGTCTGCTCAGTTCCTGATGATCACGTAATCAGCTGACAAACAGAAAGAAAAGGGAAACAAATGGGAAACGAATGGGAACAAAACAGGAAAATTTCAACGCTCACATAGTTGTGAGCATCAATTTTTGCCCCTGTGATTTGTCTCCACATGAGTCTCATAAACAAAAATTGACTACATTTAGTAGAGAAAACCTCACTTTAAGAAGTTCTCCTTTTATCTCAATAGACATCTTGCTTCTTTGGAACTTACCCTGATTATCAGAGTAAACTCATGTTTTTGGAAGCACCAAATTTCACAAATTGTGGAGCTTCCAAAGAAGTTAAAGTTTAATCAAACTGTTAACAAAGTGTGATTCAATTGTCTAATCAACTCAAACATCTTGTGCCAATATAAATCAATTCAACTCGTTCAAAAATGTTGTATGTCAAATGGTTGACTCAAGGATTGAAGGTGAATGTAGTTATGAGATGAAGTAGCTGATGGTGATGTGATCAGGTGCTGATGTGAGAGATGTGATGCGAGTGGGGATGAGGGTCAAGCTGGTTGAGTTGGGTTGTGTACCTTGGCTTCTGGAATTCTGGAAGTGTGGTGCATTCAAATTTGCCAAATGCCAGAAAGACAGAACACACCAAAGAAAAACTTCTGGTGTTCTGGAAAAAACCTTTGGGAAATTTCCAGAACAACTTTGTATACCCTAAATCTAGATTCTATATGTATCACATTATTTTTTCAGATCTTGATCAACCCATAGCCAAGATGAGTGCCAATGTTGGATCATTGTAGATATTATTGTATCACCATCTCAATAAACAAAGATTGATCTTTAAGCAATTAATCCCAAGTTGTGACAAATTGATTGTTTGACAACAAAAATCATCGTCTTCAATCACACTGTTAATGTTGTATCTACTGGACAAATGATAAATAATGATGTCTTTGGAAGACTATATCACATATTCTGGAACATCACAGCTCTTCAAATCCAACGTGTGTAGGTCATGAGTGAAACAACTCTGATTCCTATGAAAGGGCCACTAAAGCACCTGATTTACCGTGATCTGGGGAGGCAAAGTTTGGCAGGGACTGATAGAGCAAAAATGATTCAAAAATGGATGTGAGAAGAAAGATGAACAAACAAACAATGTCGAGCAAAAATGACCGAGGCCCAAGTGTGATCCTCGTGATCGGGGCAACGGACATGAGCTTGGGATATGCTCAACGGGGTTTCAAGGGGTGTTTCATTGGGCTTTTTTACGGTGGCCGTGGACGGCCAAATCGGACAAAACATAAAATATGCAAAAATCTTGATGAAACACCCTTTGAAGGCCCCGTGGAACCTGTCCCAAGCTCAAGTCCGCTGCGCCGGACAGCACTCTGCCCGCTCTCGCACCCTACTTAGTCCCTGTTGCCCAAGTACTATGCTCAGCACACGGCTTCTGACTCTACAATCTATATGCATTGCATTGTTTTTTCAGATCCTGATCAACCCATAGCCAAGATGAGTGCCAATGTTAGATCATTGTAGATACCATTGTATCACCATCTTGATTCACAAAGATCAATCTTCAAGCAATTACTGTAGAAATCCCGAGTTGTGACGAATCAATTGTTTGACAACAAAAAATTATCGTCTTGAATTACACTGTTGTATCTACTGGACAACTGATAAATAATGATGTCTTTGGAAGACTGTATCACATATTCTGGAACATCACAGCTCTTCAAATCCAATGTGTGTAGGTCAGGAGTGAAACAACTCCAATTCTTATGAAAGGGCCGCTAAAGCAACTGATTTACCGTGATCTGGGGAGGCAAAATTTGGCACGGACTGATAGAGCAAAAATGATTCAAAAATGGATGTGAGAAGAAAGATGAACAAACAAACAATGTTGAGTAAAAATGACCAAGGCCCAAGTGTGATCCTCATGATCGGGGCATCGGACTTGAGCTTGGGATTAGCTCAACGGGGCTTTCAAGGGGTGTTTCTTCGAGAATTTTGCATGTTTGACGTTTTGTCCGATTTGGCTGTCCACGGCCACCGTAATGAATCATGATCGGACTTTTGAGTTTCAGTCTGGGCCAGTCGTGACACCCGGGTCCGGGACTGGTCTCAGACAGCGGAGCTCACCTGACTCTATCCGGGCCCCGTCTCCCAAGCTCGCCCGTTTCCCTCTGGCAGTGACTTTATTGAATACAAGGAAATCAGGATCTCAGACCATGGCCGCTCAACGACAACGCGCTCATCAAGCTCGTCCTCCACCTGTGCCGTCGACCCCAGTCTTGCCTCCACTTTCTTCCTCATCCACAGCGCTTCGTACTCCGGCTTTTGCTCACCAAACGCCCTCCTCTTTACCCCAGCATTCAGCCACTCGTTTCGGTGGTCTATCCGCTAAACAAGTCGACAAAGTCAGTATATATCATGTCCAGGACGTAGTGTACACTGATTGTGAATTTACTCAGTAGATCTCCTCAGCCATCGCTAGCGTCAGAAATCCTTCCCGTCGAGAACCTCCTCACGTTTCCAAGGAGCTTCAACCCCTACGTCATCCTGCAGCGCAGCATACCGTTCTTACCAGACTAAAGGGTATAGTTCTTCAACACCATTCGATCACGTGTGATCCTCTGTCATTTACTTTTGTGTTTGGTTTACGAAGGAACCACTACCTCGCCCAAGCCACCAAGCGGATGTTTTTCAGGGGCCCCACTCAATTCTCGCCTACCTTTTTTTTCGCCTAGAAAGTACAGTTCTAAGCTCGCGTCTGCTCAACATCATCCGCCTCGAAGCCCATTCGATCTGGCATCCGATGAAGAGCCTGACGTGGAGAAAACCCACGAATTCTTAGACAATCTACGCTCTGCGGGTAACCAGAAGCATCAGCATGCTAAAGATTTGGAACGCCGCCAACGAGAAACTCTCAAGGAAATTGACACTGAGTGGCAAGAAGCCTTAATCATTGAAGATTTGCTCTTTGTTCTCATGGGCATCGAGGGCAATTTCATCGAGTTTGATCCAAATTACTCACCTGACGACCCCTTCGAGCGCCTACAAGGCGCGCATTTCGTGGTCGACAATGATCTGGGTGCGTTCCCTCTCTGCACTGCGTCCTGAAAGCCCACACCTCGTGCCCTCGCTCTACTCTAAACTGACCCTACTGCCGTGTCCTCTTTCCATGCTGTAGACCCTTCACTTCGAGAACTGGTGGAGCGCATCCTACCCCTCGCCTCGTATTATACGTCAATCGATGCCTTTGTCGAGGCTCACAGTCATCTAGATTACGGCTTAGTCAATCATGCACTCTGTGCTGCTATCAGAGATGTGTTGAAAGTTAGTAACTTCTTCAGTATCTATGCGACGGATCTTGTCCTGAAATACCTCTTCTCCCTCACCCCTCAAGAGATATGTAACCCTGATAGTACAGCTAGAACATCAATACAACACTTCCCCGGAATTTACTCTTCAGCGATTCTGGTTCTATGTTCACGACGTGTTACATCTACTCAAGCTGCTCCATTCGCTGACGATAGAACTGGTTTCTATCTATTCACCGAATATTCCGTCCTCCGATGAGGATTCAGGAGATGACCCTGACTTGGACGATGACTCAGAGCAGGACGAAGCTTTGAAGGCGGTTTTGAAAGAGTTCAACTCTGGTGGCCGTCGTAAGGCCGCGAAAGCCGGAGTGACTCCTGAGAACAACATAGAAGGAATGGTTGTCAAAGGTGGAGAGGTCTTAGCGGTTCTAGAAGATCGAGTAATGAATACCTTGGGAGACCCGGTTGCATCCGAGTTGTATTCTGATCTCTTGCTGAAAGCGTCTCAGCCGTATTGTAAGATGCTAATTCAATGGGTTACACAGGGTATTCTAGCTGATCCCTATGAGGAATTTATCATCAAAGAGAGCAAAAGTATCACTCGAGGAACCTTAGACATGGATTTCACCGACGAGTATTGGGAACGCAAGTATGTGCTCCGGAATCGATCGCCAGCCACTTCCGCATCTGTTACGTTGTCAACACCACATGCAAGCCAGTCAGCTCGACATCGTCGATCGGACAGTGGGCACGCGGTATGGCGGCGAGAAGGTGGCGTAGCCGGTGGCGCGGTACTGCCTAGGTTTCTGGAAGTGTGGGAAGTGAAAATTTTACTAGCAGGCAAATATGTCAACGTTATGCGTGAATGCGGGGTCGAAACAAACGGCCTCAATTCCAGCGAAGGGTCTGATGATCACGTGCAATTTCAACTCTCTACCAAGATAGACTCACATACTTTGATCAAAATGAACAATGAAGCTTTTTTTGAATTGATAGATCGCGCATATATCTCGGCCAACAGATCTTTATTAAATCTGTTGATGAAATCTGAAGATCTTCTCGGACGACTGCAATCACTCAAACATCACTTCTTCCTCTCTCAGGGAGATAGCTTCACGACCTTTCTAGACACAGCAAATTATGAGCTGGCAAAAAAATTGAAGCATGTCAACGTTTCTCGACTTCAAAACCAATTTGACCTGGCAATTCGAAATCCGAGTAGCTCAAGTAGTAGCGATCCGTACAAAGAAGATGTCAAAGTGACTATGGCTACTACAAGCTTAACCGATTGGCTGCTACGGATCGTGGGTGTAACAGGTGCCATTGACGGAGGGCAATCGACAAGTGCCACCCGACAACACGGCTTTCTAGCCAGTGAAAGCCAACACGGTAACCATGCTGAGAGTGCCATGGGAGTGGCGATGACGGCTTCAGAGTCTGGCGAGGTGATCGATGCCGTGGGTGTTGGTCTGGCCAAACTGGCGGCCTCTGGCCACAGCGCGAGTGATGCAGCTACCACGATCAGCTCCGAAACAAGGAGAGATGCCTTGACTGGTAAGGTTTTGATTCACGCCTTCAACTATAAACCCATCAATCGGGTTGCTCATCATCACATTGTTTACAGGAATTGATGCGCTACAGCTAGATTATACCGTCCGGTTTCCACTTTCCCTTGTAATATCTCGAAAGACCATTCTTCGCTATCAGTTGATTTTTCGCTACTTACTCCATTTGAAACACCTTGAGCAATCCTTAACTCTATCATGGACCGATCACATCAAATCATCAGCTTGGAGATCATCAACAAAATCCTATCCCCGACTTGAATGTTGGAAACGTCGGATCTTCAATCTGAGGGCTAAGATGCTCAGCTTTGTACAATCGTTGTACAATTTCATCTGTTTCGAAGTTTTAGAAAAAAATTACCGGAAGCTACAATTGAAGCTAAGAAAAGTTGATACCGTAGATGGTCTCCTCCGTGAACACGTCGACTTTTTAGATACGTGCTTGAAGGAGTGCATGTTGACTAATTCCAAGTTGTTAAAGGTAAGCCCCGAACGATCCGCCTTTTCAGTTTCCAGGATTTATGGCAGGGGTCCATTTTCAGCCAACTCCTAGTTGATCGCCGCTTTTACTCTGTGCCAGATTCATCAAAAGCTTACAACAGCATGTTCCATGTTTGCAAGTTATACGGCTCATTTCACCAAATCGGCTTCCACTTTCAATCTTGCCTTTGAAAATTCAGAAGGAGATTGGGAGGCAATACCGAATGATATACAAAACAAAATATCCATGGCTGAATTGGCTTTGAACAAATTCGAACAAAACTTCAATCATCACTCCAAAGTGCACGTCGACATGGTCACTGTTGAGTATATGCTTCTCTGGGGGACCGACAAAGCAGATGATCTTGATACTAATGACCACTGATGACTATTCTCGTCTTGAATTAGTATTTTGCTTCATCTGAAAACCTTGCGCGTGAGTCTACATCCCTGCGTATGCCTGCTCTGAGATGAGTTATGCCAAACTGAGATCTATTATACTGCTCTACATACAATCCATGGATGTTTAGTGCTTGCTTTGGCTGTCAGGTTGACAAATGTCCGATCGACTCATTGATCAGTGTCTGGAGATGGACAAAACTCTTATACTCATCTTGATCAGATGGCTCCATCAACATTGTCTGCTGGATAAAAGTGATTGAACCCTAACCGTCAGTATTCCCTATCTCTGTTTGTCTTGTTGCTGTAACATCAGAGAGCCAACTGGTTTGTATGCCAAGCAAGAACATTAAGATAGGTCAGCTGAAAACTTCCAACCTGTTCGACTGCCTGCCCTTGAGTTATAATCCAGGACCAGAGACTGACAGTATAGAAGGGAAATATATAAAAATGATACTTGCAACCTTGAGCCTCCAGCCCCCTTGAGTCCTTGATTGTCCAGATTTTGTTGATCTCTCAAAGTCTGAGATATGCAAAGGGTCACAAGATTTGACTACAAATTTGGAATGTCCACAAGGAAACGGTGAATTCCTTCTGACATGACCAAGAATTACTTTTACCAGCACTCCATGCCCAAGGAGCCAACATACACCAAGACCTAAAACTCAGTTCTTATCAATGATGTGGATCTGGGCCAAGTATGGGTTGGGGAAGCTGGTGACTTCGTGAGTCCAATCCGAGTTCACAATTCAAAGTAAGCCAGGCAACTGTAAACTGGCTCTTGTGCACACCTAAGCATGCTAGCCCATACTTCAACAGTAGCAGTTGGGTGCAGTTGGGTAAAATCTACAAATTTGGATGCTGAAGAGAAATGGATAGGATTTCCTCCAGGGGGCAATTACAATTCAACTGCTTTTACTGAATCCAGAACTTGCCTTGATGGATGACATCATGCAAAGTGGAAAATCAAAAATGGAAGAGACAACAGCAGATACACATCACTGCATGACACTGCATGACTTGAGCATGTACATGTCCCCACGCCTAGGAATCATGATGATTGGGTTTGGGACAAACCCTGGTTCCACCACTGCAAAACTTGAATGATTATGTAAATCACTTGGAGCAACATGCAAACCCCGCCGCAGCGCACCACATTTTTGGTCAACTGAGACAGCGCTGGGATTTATTGCAGTGGCTATGTAGCCTCACCACAGCGCTATCGCAGTGCAGAAAATTGCCCTGAGAGAGCTGTGCGCTTGTAACAGGGACGGTTATACCCATGTTACATACTTAGGTTCTTTAACTTAAAACAAGCTTGACGGAAGATAACGGAAAGAGCAAAAGAGTATGTCCTTGGAGTCTAAGGCAAGAAGAGAATAACTGGTATAGCTTCAAAAGGGGAGCGGTTGAGTATACTTGTTGTACAAGAACTGTGATGGAATTGAACTGCTATAGTATGTTGATCAAATTGCTTTTACCAAGGTTATGAAATATATCAAAGATACAAACCAGAAGAGAATATGAACAAAGTAAGGGTGAACAGAGCCTACAAGATACAAAGTAATTCCTAACTGGGGAACTATTACAAGAGGCAACACTGGGTAAGCTGGACTCGCCGTAGCTGCAGCAGAGCGGAGCAGTTATTGTGATCCGCTCCGCTCCGCCGGAGCGTAGCTCTTTCTGGGTGTACAGCGCAGAGCTATGGGAACCGGGGAAAAGTCAATTTTTTGAAAAAGCTACGCTGCGGCACGGATAGCACCGTTATCCGGCACCGTTAGCTCCGTGCCGAGTCCAAAATCCCCAATCGGGTATGAATCACCATCATACTTGATCTTTCCTAATCTGGCACTTATACGCCACCATACAATCTACCCCTTACTGGATGCCATTTCGACGCATGCGGCGTAATACACGGCCCAGGAACTCGATGGCGATGTATTTGATGGTTATGAAGGCAAGCTTGGTTGGTGCTCTCTCTCTTTCCTTCAGCTTGTCTCACCTTTTTTCTTTTTCATAACATCTGAATCTCACTCGTACTTACAAACTATTATCTATTCTTTTACTCCTTATCACTTTCCATCTTATCACTGTCCATTCACTTCATAAACTCACTAGCTCACTCGTAATAACATGTCCTCAGTTACCTCCGAACGTCCATTGCGCTTTTGCACACAGACCAGCAACCCTGGAATGGTACCCCAGAGTCCTGACTTACGACGTCAAACTTCAATCGAAAGCCTCATCCAATCCAACATCATTCAACACAACAAGTCTAACAAACGAAAGAACAAATCAACCGATTCAGTCACCCTCATCACCACTGATGAGGAATCTGTGGCTGGAGTGGCTGAATCCAAAGGAAGCTTGCAAGCTTCTCCGACCCGGAAGAAGAAAGCCGTGAAAGCCTCATCATCGAAGACAAAGAGCAATCAAGTTAGTACAAAATCACAATATTCAATCAAATCATATTCACAAACGAGCTGATACTTCTTCATCCAATAGCCTGCCCCCGGGAAAGTCACGAGAGACATGATGCGAGCTGATTCCGACGATGATAATTCGAAAATTTTGGCCAAGAAGCGCAAGGTTGCCAATCCTGAAAGTGACGCTTCAAAGCTCAAATGTTACTATGACACACCGTTCCACGGATATGACAAAAAGGGCAATCCAGATGTGAGTTTCTTTTCTTTTTGACTTCAATCATTCATCTCAATTGCTCTCCTCTTATATTTACCCTCATCTTTGTATTGGTCAGGATCCGACAAAGGCCCCTCTGTCATACCCTTGTCTCTTTTGCCCCAGAGACAAGAGTGATCCAGTGCGGGTCAGTTTAAGCAACCTGACCGGAAATCTCCGTGTCCATCGAGATGGCTCCACTCAAGATGGTTGATCAGACATTGGCTGCCCTGGTCGACTCAAAGCTCAAGCTCAAGATCCAACCCTTGCACCCCCCTCAGTTGCCGAAACTCGTCAGGCGCTTGCAAAGTCCAAGGGACCACTGGATTCTTATGTCGTCACCACACCTTCCACCTCGTTCTCTAACCTGACTCTTAACCAAATGACATGCGTTTGGCTCATCCGACAAGCTCAACCGTGGAATAGGATTGAGGACCCAATCCTTCGAGGTATGGTCCGCTACCTCCGAAAGGATGCCCACCTGTATGGTCGACGCTGGGCTGCCGACAAGGCCAAGCAAGTTAACATTTCTCTCAAGGCAAACGTATTCTCAGAATTAAAGGTGAGAAAGTACTTGGATGTTTGTTTCTTTGGTTTCAGATTCTAATTGTGTTTGTGATATATTTCAGAATCTCAAGTCCAAGTTTAACCTCGTACATGACGGCTGGACCACTAAGGGAAACCGTCACGCCTTCATCGGTGCGGCTGTGACATTTATAGACGACAACTGGAACTACCGAAGCCGTCACCTCACCCTCAAATTGATTATCTGGCATCACCACGGCCCTTGGCTTGCCGAGCCGATGGTGAACATCTTGGTTAAGCGTGGCCTTTTTCGAAAGATAAGTCCTTTCAATTCGAAGACCATTACGCTTTTACTAACTTTACTAACATCTTTTCGTTATTGTCTCACATGCTTCGCCAGACCACCGATTCCGGGTCAAATAACAAGACCATGGCTCGTGAAATGCACCGACAGTTCCAGGACCAGGATGACACCACCTCATACACGTGGGACCCAAACACAATGCACGTGTTTTGTTTTTGTCACAAGATCGCGTTGATTGTCAACGCCGGCTTGGCTGCCTTGGGTGTCAAAGCACCTCCACCTTTAAAGGCGAAGGCATTGGATCGTGGACATTTTCCATTGTTTGAAACTATTGCTGAAGGGGACAAAGTTGAAGTATCAGGAGTTGAAGAGCCTCAAGCTGCCTCAAATGTCGACCTCTTTGCAGTAGAAGATCAAGCCAAACATGACTTACAAGAACTTGAATCACCGCCGGAGGTCATCGCTGAACTTGATGACGAGGGCAAGTGGGATGCGGCTGACGCTGAAGATGAGGCATGTCCGGAGCCTCTGATTGAAGATAACGAAGTGCAACCGACGCATTGCCGAGAAGCAAACCATGTTGACTTTATCTTGCGCAAGGTAAGTGTATGTTGTGATTATCTTTCATACAAAATATTGATTGGCTTTTGTTGACTTCAAAACCAGGTGGACTTCATCGTGCGTCGAATAACTCGGTCTGCGGCCTGGCGCAAGGAATTTGAACGGGTGAGTGAGCAGAAGGGTTTCAGTGGCTCTCTCATTGCGGGCTACGGAATCAGATGGAACATCAAGTATATTAGCCGGCACAAAGCGTGGTTGGCCAGAGAGGTTAGTTCGACTATCATACACATATTAATTGAATCACTTGGACTGACCATCCTTTTCTCTCAAGGTCATCGATCAGCTTTGTCGAGACGACTTGAATGTCGTCCATGCTAAGAATCTCCCAGCTCGGAAGAATAAGAAGCCACATGGCTATTTCCACGAAATGGAAATGACTACCACCGAATGGGCACATGTTCGTAAGATCAACAACGAGCTTGAGGTCAGTGATCATTGTGTCTTATTTCATTCTATCATCACCTTTCCATTCTTATCTGACATGGTCTCTCTCTCCAGCCCTTCTTGAAGGTGACCCTTGCAATGAAGGGCGATGGACCAATGGGATGTATGGTCATTCCAAAATATGTCGAGCTGCGAAATACCCTCAAAAAGAAGATTCAGCCCTTGAGCACAACCGATGCCCTCTATCCGATGCTTGCAAAGATGAAAGAAAAGACAGTAGAGTATCTCAATGAAGCACTCCAGTGCGAGACCTTAGTTATGGCCACAGTGTCACATCCTTTTTTCAGATTAAAGTTCTTTACGAAATGGTTTGGGGCTGATTCTACTGTCGCTATGTCAGCTGAGGCGACCTTCCGACGTCTACATCGGGAGTACAAGCTGGCTGGCCCTGTTAACAACAAACCGACTTCCTCCCAACCATCCAAACCTTCGAAAAATCCTGCAACATCCTCCTCAAAGCCCGATATCTTTGACAGCGACTCGGAAGAGGAACCTGAGCTTGAACAGTCTGAAGATTTAAGTTTAAAGAATTATTTACGAGGCGGTGACAAGATGAAGGCCGAAGATTATAATATACAAGATCCCAAAGCGAGTCTGGAATGGTGGAAAGTAAGTTCCTCTCTCCCAATTTCAGTCATTTCAATTTGGGATCATCAGCTGAACTTAACCTGTTTGATAGGCACATGAAAGGAATTATCGAGTTCTTGCGCGTATGGCAAAGGATTACATGGCAGTGTCTGGATCATCCTGCGCTGCCGAACGCATTTTTTCTTGCGCGTCGGACGTCTGCAGTTCAAGTCAAGGAAGCTTAATAGCTCAGACCATTGAGATGCTTGTGTCAAGCAAACTCTGGTTGAGAGAAGGTGTGGAGCTTGGTGTTGGTTTTGA